ATGTAATGTATATACTGTGTATGTAATGTATAACACATTTTAAGTGATCAAATTATTACTAAGCACACAAAATGGAAGTGACATATCAACAGTGTAATAAGCCACATAATWTAATGTTYTGAGRAAAGAAAGTGACACAGCTCTAAACACATCAGTCAAAATTGATAACACAATTGTGCAAAAGTAATCAAGCTAAATTAGAATGGCATAACTCGTACCTGCTGCCTTTAACAACACAAATAATGCAATCATCAAATATTTGAAAATAAATTATTAACAAATAAACAAATGTCTAATTATCAACTACATCTTTAAACATTCATGTTGGTTTTTTGCACCTCTTATTTAACAATATTACAAAGCAATATTATCAGTTCCAATTTTATTTTGTAGAGTAATTCTGAAATATTTGTGAAAACCTTGCCACTACAAAAAAAGGATTAGGGCTACTGACAAAATCTTTAATTCTGAGGAAAAAAAGTCAGAATTCTGAGATTAAAGTACAGTTCTACTGTGACAATAAAGATTTAGTTTAACCATGTGGAAGGAAAGTGAGCACAACTTCTGCACAGAAACTAAAGAGGACAGGGTTTATCAAGGGATGTAATATAACAACATTATTATTATCAAAAACTGTTAATATCATTAACGATTAGATAAATGTTGTCAGTGTTTAAAATAATGCACACAAGCACGAATATAATCCTTCTTTAATAAATGATGATTAAAATCTGGATGAATGTCTCAAAAAGACATTTTTTATGTGCAGATCAGGTCAGTTTTATAATGAAGTTCTTATTATTTCCACACAAAAGTATTTTCATCACATGATTTAAATGAGAAAAAGATTTAGTGCTTTTCAGTACATAAACTAGTGCTTCATTTAGCTGTAAAATCACAACTCATCCCATATATTTAATTGCCATATTCTGAAACAAGCAACTTTTTTCAGTTATTTTATTCAAAAACCTGTTTTTGATGAATCTCTAAAAKAAAATGAGCTAAAACCAGTTCCGTTTTATGATTTACACCTAATTATTTGTCCTAATAAAAAATACATTTAAAGAAAAATTTAAACTCAGTTCAGCATAATAACAAGGTGATAAATTGTCTTTAAATGTACAATGAAGAGCAAAGCAGACTCACCTCATGATGTGTCGAACAGAAAGTGGGGAAGAAAAGTTGAGGAATATAAATACTGAAGGGTTTGACTTGTGTGGAGGTGTGTGTGTAACAATGTGTGTGTAAAGTGTGTGTGCATGTTTAAGCTGAGTTGTAAGTGAGATTCCATCAGGTGTAAACTGTGGTGCAGGATGTGAGTGGGTGAATTCACTTTAAATWTTTATATCTTTGTTACAGGAGTCGAGTTTTACAGAGTTTGATAAGTTTATGTTTGGTAACAAAATACTATGTTTACAGATGGGAAAACATCCGATTTACATCATCTGAAGTATCATACATAGTCCAGCAGCATGATTAACTTCGACATTATCACAAAGGTTTATTTATTTATTTATTTATTTATTTTGGTTTTTTTGCTACTAATGTTGTAATAATGAGTCTTTGTGTTATAGCTTTTAGTGAGGAAGTGAACTTTATTAGTTTACGCTGTGAGTCCTGGGGTCTCTGCTGTTTTTATTCAGCAGGATTGGACTAATTTCTTAAAGGTAAGCAGAATCAAAATAATTAATTAAGTGTAATATTCTAGGATTGAGATTGGACATTTAATTTAGGTCATTGCTTGTTTGTTTGAGTCCAGGTACACCAGTGTTTATGTCTGCAGYATAACCARGATATTTATTACATTTTTACTATTATGTCRTAATGTATTGTAGTTTTTAGATATATTTCACAAAAAATAATTATTAAAATAAATGACTTTTTGTCACATTTGTTATTTTACAGGTCTAGATTTATGTTATCTATTCCACCAGTGCACTATATTATAGATCTACGTTGTACCTAATATACATGACACTGTGTTGGAA